GTGATGAAAGCCAGAGAACATAACTTGTTGGATTGCTTCATCAGTCATTATCATCAACCCTGTGATCTGGCACATCAAGATCTCTGCAGTCAAAGGGCATTCAAGGTAAAGACCTTTCTGTCAACACTTCTGGACCGGTATGAGGCGTTGTTTCAACCGTTAACAGCGTGACACAACGTCGCTGACAAAGGCTGCTCATGGTGCCATGCCCTCATGTCTTTAGAGCAGATGGAAAAACATAACCGTGAAAACAGACCTGCAGACGGTGAGCTGTCACTCAGACATACAGGGATCAGCGGTGATTGTTCACCTGGCTCAACGGTTTCACAAAGAGCTGCTCGGACACAACCCACCAAACCCACAGAGTATTACGTCAAAACAACCTGTCTGTAGCGGTTCAATTGCACGGGCAGAACAAAGTCTCCTGGGAGAAACTCCTGTCAAACTCCTGTCATTCCTGCCAAGGACCTTTGCATCAACCTGTGGACACATCAGATCGAGGAGATATCAGTCATGCCCCTTTCACACCAACGCGTTTTCAGCTCCGGCTCGGAGCTGGAGCTGAAAAGTACCGGTTTTTCCTGTTCACACCGCAGAGGCGCCGCCTCTTAGCTCCATAATCCGGTTCACTTCCAGCTCCAAAAAATTGTCGGTCTAGAGGCAAGAGCTTCGGAGCTAAGAGGCGGCGTCGCTTACGTCTCTCTTACGTCGAGGCGGGGGCAGGGGCAGATTCGTCGTTGAAGCTAGGAAAGGAAAAAGCGCTGGTGTGAAAGCCGCATTAGACAGCTAGTCATAATTAGCCTTGTATGCTACACGTCTCACTCAATTGGTTTGATGGAGACTCCCCTGATATTTTATAATGGTTGGAAAAATGTATGTCCAATTTGCCATTTGAGAGATTGTCATATGTGTTAAGAGGAAGTTTGTTTGGGAATGGTCACAATGGCACCATAGACAAAAGAGGAATACCTATGTATATCTACAAATAGAACCAAATAAGCACTCACAGTTGGTTAATGCACATCCTTGTGACGAATTTTTTTGTGTTATCTGTTTTTTGTTCTGTATTTTTTTGCCATGTTTCGCAATGGATCATCTGACTGTTGCAGGGAAAAAACATTGAACATAAAAAAACGTTTCTATCAGAAGAAGGAAGGCCTGTGCTGTGTCTCAGTATGAATGCTTCTAACTTACTTATGTGCGATTTTTTTTATGTGTATAAGTACGTCACAGTTGTGGATTACATCACATATGGCAAATTGCACCATAAGTAGGCCTACTCGGACGCTGCACCATCACGTTCAAAAAGTTGAGTCTGAAATGCTGGAAACTTCTCACAATCATCGACCACCATCTTTGTTACGTAACTGAAGTTGTGCAACCAGTCGTGATTGCAGTAGCTCCAATGAACAAAATAGATATCACTATGACCGTTCCACTATACTGGTTTAAGGGTCATTCCAGAATTGGAGGACAATTTAGACACCAACATTTTTGAAAAATGAACCTTTTATTTTATAATTTGTTTTATGTATTTAAGAAAAACAGATAATAAACCATCAAAAAAAGTGATTTGCCCAGCTAGGCATCAAATTAATATTTTCCAATGAAGAATTACCCCTGTTACTCTAATTATAGTAACAGGGTTGAAAATCAATGCTAATTTGAGCTTTAACCTCAGGAATGATTGCTAGATGTAGCATGTAATGCTACTTTCAAGGCAAGGACAAACTTGGATATCTAATGCAAGAAAGATAACTTTGAAATTAATATGCTTTATTCTGATAATATCAGTAACAGGGTTGAGTGGGTCAGAGTGCCACACTCTTTTAAGACTGAAAAGATTGTAAAAATAAGAGAGGACTTAGTTGTGGTCTACCCATGGCACGAGCACATGGCTTGCTGATGTCACTTCCACTGTGTCATCTGATTTACAGTTTGTTCACTTCCTCTGCCAATCTAAAAAGGTTTGGGTAACAGGGTTGAACGCATGTTGAGGGACACACCTTCTGTGCAAAATTACTGTTATCTAAAATATGTTTATGATTTAACAAATTGATGTTACCATTACAAGAGACATATATCAATAGAATAATACCAAAAAAAGTAAATCAAATCCCTATTTTAAATGTTATATTTGACATGCAAGTTGGTCACCAAGAAGCGGGGACAAGAGAAACATGCCATTTTAGGGGATGTTCGAGAGCTATTTGATCATTTAAATAATATTTTGAAACCACTTTTTCTACAACTTTATATACATTTTGTCTCAAGACAAGTATGTTTAACACAACAAGTGCATGTTTTAGCATTTTGGGCATGGATTATTAGATTTTTTATATGGGGGACATAATGTCCTCCAATTCTGGAATGACCCTTAAAACGAAACCACTGTTGACTTTATCAGGTTGATTGAGCAGCTTGTCAGGATTTTTGCTGCTGCTATTAAACGTTGGTTTCGTGCAAGCTAGCAAACATTGGGATATAGCCTACCATGTTTTTAACAATAACAACTCTTGTGTTTCCAACGCCAAAGTGATTAACAGATAGTCACACAGAAGTAATACAAATGTGTTCAAAGTAGCTTATAGAGTACTTTTCATTAACCCTTAGCGCCTGATTGAGGCAATAACTGTTTAACACAGATAGTATACTGATATTGGTGTATAATTGTTCGTGTCCCATGTAAAACCAAGTCTAAATGTTGAGTTTGGTGTACTGAAGTCATTTATGAATGTGACGGCATACCGTTTCCTGACGTCATTTAAACCCAAACCCTTCATTACCCTACCCAAGTACGTTGCGAGCGTTTCACAAAGTTCAATAGAACAGTCATACTGTATTGTGTCATTGGCAAACTATTCTGTCATTCAGGTATGGAGACAAGTTGAAAGATGGGTAACAAAGTTCACTGAGTCACAGTGAGTGGGCTGTAATGTTGAGAGATGTGTGTGTGCCGATTGCACAAGCTCAGTTAGAATAAACCTAGATTTGGGTGCAGATAGGCGATACAGAACACAAGCTCAATGTCTCTCCAGTTACACAATGTGCCTATCATTCCATTACATCTTCTGGATCCGACTTTTAAATTGCACACAAACATTTTTAACTCAAATGAAAAGACAGTTATGATCAAACCGGTTTGATCTGTTATCCCTATATGCTGTGTGCCTGTCTCCATCTGAATTAATGCTACGCCCGGCGCTGTGTGTGTTAATGATTGGCCGGGTCATGAGTGCAGGAGGCTAATAAAACCATTTTAGAGCGAACTGCAAAGAGAGACCACACACACACACACACACATACACACACACACACACACACACACACACACACACACACACACACACCCACACACACACACACACACACACACACACACACACACACACACACACACACACACGCACACACACACACACACACACACACACACACACACACACACACACACACACACCACACACACACCACACACACACACACACACACACACACACACACACACACACACACACACACACACACACACACACACACAACACACACAACACACACACACACACACACACACACGGGTCGCCGCCAGGGATTTTGGGCCATATGAAAATATATCATATTGGTTACTTCAACATTTTTTTCTTAATGTTCTAATTGTTTGGGCCCCTGTCAGTCACGGGCCCTTAGAATCGTCCTAACTTTTCACCCCCTTATGGCGCCCCTGCAACACACACACACACACACACACCACACACACACACACACACACACACACACACACACACACACACACACACACACACACACACACACACACACACACACACACACACACACACACACACACACACACACACACACACTTAGAGGGTTTTATGACTTTCTTCATGTTCTTTATTCCCTAAGTTTTTCATTTATTAACCTAGTTTGATCTTAGTGTAAACATAAGGTCAGTTGCTTTCAAAGAGAGTGAGGTAATTTGCTATTTATATTAGCTAGATATTACTACTCTTAATACAGGGAATAAAGCGTATGCATACCTCTGCCTTCTCTACCTGAGTTGGATGTTTTTAGGCTGTCCTCCATAGTGGGATAACTTCACACTGTTCTCTGTCCTAGTCCGCCCTCTTGTGGGGGAAATCAACTTGCTTTCAAGTGAACTGTGTCATCCTCCACTTAATAGTAACACATCAGCCCAGAATGGGGTACCGTACAATTATCAATTAAGTAAAGAGAAAATATGAATGTGTCCCCTTACAACCGGCAACATCATAATTTAGGCTGGTGGATAATTCAATCATGTGTTATGTGATGAGACACAACTATGCTGTCTAAATTGGGGTTTTTTAAATGTGAAAGAAAAACCCAATTAATACTAATACAAATATCACTTAAATTTGATGAGGACTATTTTAGGGGAATATGATTTGAAGATTGTGTTTTTTTTCTATATTTAAATGACCAAATACTATTTAACAAGCATTTATTTTCCCACCATTGCACCAAAATGCGATGTGGGGTATTTCATAGACTATATAATTATATAATATCTAAAAAACCATATATGGAGATATGACATTTACTCAATTGGGTTAGAAGATTTTGGCCATCTCGCCGAGCCCTAATAAGATAAGATAGCACATAATTAGAAATTAAAAGAGTATATGTACAAAAATATGTACAAAAATAAACTTGACCCTTAAATTATTTCAAACCTTTCTTTCAAAAACATATCTTTATATTTATTTGGAATATACGGTGCTTAGATTATATGTAAAACTCAAATACAAGGTTGAACTACATTTTTAATTGTCAAAAATCTGTAATTCACTGGTATCAATTTATTATTTCCTATTTTTCAAATGTGTCACAGATAAAAGAAAACATAAAAACATATCTTGTTCGTAATAATCTGCGTATATCCCATAACTCTGATAAACCACTGAATTCTCGATAGAAGCATTTCTGAATCACGATAAAGAGCACAGAGACAGCAGCCATTCAATTGCACCAAAAACATGTTTTATTCTATAAAAGAAGAAGGGGGAATAATCACAACTGTACAGGGAGAAACTGACTTTGAAACACTATGAGTCACAGTATCAAAAAGCTCACGTTTTCCTCACTGATCTTTACACATTTGTTCTGTACAAATACAAAAAAAAAGAAAAAAATATTATTAATAATTGTATTATTATAATGATAACTGCATTGCACTGAGTAAATATAGTACTGGCCCATAAGTTACTGCATTCAATAGAAAATACCTTAACATTTGTGATTTTGCAGAAGGAGCGGAGGCACTCGCAAACAGTGACGTGAGTCTCAGCGGGGATTAAATCACTGTCGTTCACAGATTCCTGCTTTAACAGAAGATTTAGGAGAAAACAAGCTTGCACAAAACAACAACAGGAAGCAGGAAAAACACGACGCATGCATCAGTCTCCCTGCAGCAGCTCCAACACTGAGATATCATAATAATTCAGTGTGAAACTGTGTGTGTTTGGGAAGAACATACCAATATGCTGATATAATGGACACCAGAGTAGATCAGTGTGCTTGTAAATGATCTTTTCCAGGTATAAAAACGGGTGCTGCATGGGATCAATGTGCTCAAATGAAAGGGGAGTGGGGTCCATGTAATTAAATCCTTCAATGTATAAAAACATATTTGAATAGTGGAAACTGGATTTCTGCAGGTGGTGTTTTCTGTTACTTGAAATGGAACAAACAGGTTGGATATGTTTTATATATGTTGTTACTTTTCCATAATCAAGCTGCTATGAGCCTGGAGCGTGTAAAAATCACAAAAACATTAATATTTTTTAGCCCTGTATGACCTGAAGTTCTCTAAAGCTCGAGTGTTCTGACCCAATCCTAATATATCTCAAAATGTCACGACTGTTTCATATTTTAAAAGAGGTCCAACGCAGAAAATATCAAGCTGTTAGTATAATAAATGGATCCCTATAATCTTTTCCTCAGGTCATCAATGTTAAGTCTCACACACTGACATGCTCACCAACGTCACTATAAGAAAACAAGAACTCTCCATGCAACAAGTGCACAACACAAGTGGGACCAACTCTTTTTTTTAAAGAAACCACGAAACAAATGTCTCATTCGATTTGGAAAGAAACACGTGACGAAACACACTTCATCAAAGCAACAGAGGAAAAGGAAAAGAAAGAGATTTTTCACATTATCTAGTCAGTGTTAAAAATAGAAATTCACCAGTTACATTTACTCTGCACTTTTTGATTATATACATTTATGTACATGGATTTATCTTAATTATTTGTCATTGTCCTTTATGTCTTTATCAACAGTTTACAAAAGAAAGAAAGTTGCAATCAAATGCATATACTCTTCTAGAAAGATGTGCTTAGTTACTTTTAGTTGAAGCAGAGGGGATGTTTAGAGGAACTTTGCATTGCTTTGCACACTGCATTAAAACCTCCAAATAGATCGCTTTTAGTGCAGTGTGCAGAACACTGTCCCTGCTCATTGCATGCACTCAGCTCCATCTCATACTGCAAAGGTCAGACATTATGCTCTCACTTACTAGCTTTTGAAATGACAACAACTCCATTTGGAAAGGATCAGGATTTGGAAAAGCGTGCTCCGCAGATCACCGTCCCCTCTTGATTAAGACGTCACTTCCCAAGTTTGAGTTTCTTGTTCTGAAAGTGTATTCTGAGGAGGCTCGGTGATCAACAGCGCAGGCTTTCACACACCCTGACCTCCCGTTAGAGGATCTGTGAGCTGCATATCCGCAGAATGAGCAGCTAGTGCTCAGATCAGAGGAGTGAAGCGAGGTCATGTTGCATAATCAAGTTCAGCCCAGAGCTGGAGAACAGCCCACTTTAAGACATGGACACCACGGGTGAGAGGTTCTGTTCCAACTGCTTACATCAGGAAGGGTTAAGACAGTAACAGGAGATTCTCCGTTAGACTTTGTAGGGGTTTCGTTTGTTGAGGCTTGAACTGGTTTGAAAGAGAATGGACCCCCACTCTGGTTGAAATGCTAGTGAGGAGAGCGCTAAGTTTTAAATCTCCGGCACCACGGACCCTGCAGCCCGACACAGTGCCTGGTTCCTCTCAGAACCACTGACAGACGGCGGCTGTTGGCTCCTGTGAGGTCATGAAACCAGTGCAAATGGGGCAGACTTTCAGCAGGATTTCATGGGACAACTGTTCTATTCTTTTCAAAATGTCCTCGTTACAAATGAGACTCTGCTGCTATACTTTACATAAGACCACATTGTCCATAATAAGCCGTGTGTGCATCATTCTGTGATTTTCTCTATCGAGCACCCTCTTTCCTTTGTGCAAAAAACAAGTACATTTCCTAACCCTTGACTGTCCGTCCCAATGTTGAACAGTTAGCAGTCAAGAGTCTGTTTACACTGTAATTGTGTCTCTAATTCAAATGTGAATTTTAAAAGTTCCAATACCAAGCTTTTTAATTTCGAAGAGTCCATACGCTTCAAAACGAGTAATAGAATGTCTCCACACAAAGTAATGATAGAAACGAGCCAACAGTGCAAATATCCGTCCTCAGACAGGATGTTGATAAACGGCGTCTCAGTTTATCTGTCAGTGGTTCTGGCGTCGCCCTTTACAGATTGACTTCAGTTATTAAGGCTCGACGGGCAGGAGGTCAAAGAAGTGCCCGGAACACACACACTCGTAAAAATCGTAAATTCTGATTCTGTGTTTGTCTCAAAACATGCACACTCACACATACACACACACACACACACACACACACACACACGAAAACACACTCACAAAAGCTCCCCTATTCCCTGCGCGAGAGTTTTACTTGTAATCTCAAACTACTGGTGTCTCCTCCGTCTTCTTCACAGCCAAAAACACATTTGTTTTTTAAAAAGGATGCCATTTTGTTAAGAGTGCCAAACCTGGCAAAGAAGGAGAAAGAGAATTGAAGAGCCTTATTTCATAAGACGACAGCAACAACGACGCATAAAAAGCAAATACTGTTATCGAAGAACAATCAGGGAGGTGTGTGCGGGGAGAACACGCAATAACAATAACTTGATTGATACAATAAAAACAAAATTCATCTTTATAAAGTTCACAGTCTTGTAGCTCCCTGTACCAGGGGAGGGGGTCGGGGGAGGGTGACGGGACAAAATAGTACTTTTAGATGTTTAACAGGGAAACATCTGTGAGACGTCACTTCAGCTGCTCCTCACAAGCACACGATCAAATATGTGAGGGGGGCGTCTACTTTCCAAACTGGCAGGAACTCAAATTGTCTTGTCATCGGGAAAACGTGTCTGCAAATAAAGCCGATTGATGTTTTAGGTTGAGACATAATGTTGCCTGTTAGGTCAATTATTATGGCACACAGTTAGTTCCTGGGTTCTTTAAGAGAGCATAGCGATGTTTGGGAATTGAATTTTGAATACTTTTTTTCATCTCAAATGTATTTTTTAACACTGATAGAGGGTCACACTTTTCAGAGACAACTGTTCGATCAGAAAGCTCCTGATAAAGATAAATATTTGTACCTCAAAATAAATGTAGTTTGTTAAAATATTCCTGTGGTTGGAAGGAGATAATTCATTCACTTTTTCTTACTGACATATGTTTTCAAAAATTCATAAAATATCAAATTCCAGCTCTCACAACTTCCCAACTTTCCGATATGTACAGAGTTCATATTGTTCAGGCAGCTGAAGTGACATCGTTCTGCTTTCAGTTCATAAAGAAATCACACTCTACTCCTCTTCCTCCTCCTCTTCCTCCTCCTCTCCTTCGGATGGATGCTGTTGTATGACCTTCAGAGGAGATGGAGGATGCTGGGTGGACGGTGATGATGATGAAGATGAGGATGTGTTGAAACACACATATTAGAAAAACTAAACCTCCAATGCACACACACACACACACACACACACACACACACACACACACACACACACACACACACACACACACACACACACACACACACATTCCTGATATTCCTGTGATTCCATGATGATGATGATGATGAGAAGCAGGAAGAGGAGGAAGAAGACGAGGAGGTACTGTGTCTCTTTCTCTCTGCTGATATAAATCCTGATGTAGGCTCCAGCAGAGGTGAAGTTTTTTTTAGCCTTAGTTTGGAGGGGGGTCTCTGGTACAAGATGTGCTGTGAGGGGGGAGGTGAGGGTGAGGGAGGGGGGTCAGAGTTCACATCATGACGTGGCGGCGGCGGTGCAGGGACAGGTGGTCCGAGCGGGAGAAGGAGCGGTCGCACTCGGTGCAGCGGAACGGTTTGATGCCCGTGTGTTTGCGGAAATGTCGGGTGAGCTCGTCGGAGCGGGCGAAGCGCCAGGTGCAGCCCTCCCAGGTGCAGTGGTAGGGTTTCTCTCCTGGGGGGGGGAGGAGACAAGGAGTTAGGAGAGATGACAGGAAAGGAGGCAGTAAGAAAAAGATGGGAGGCGAGAAGAGTGTTTGGATTCTGTTGGAAGCAGACGGATCTGCTTCAGTTAGGTTTGAACTACATTTCCCAGAATTCCCAGCCCAGGTAAAATGTCTCTCTGCCTCTTTTACAAAAGATATTTTACTGTAAGATTATTCAATGTAAGTGGAAAATGTTGATTATGAGAACAAATAACACCAAACAAAAGCATTTAGCCTGCTCAACTTTTTATTTACGGCTCTCTTCACCTTTTAAAAATTATTTTGCAATTTTTATGTCTAATAATTAGACAGAACTACCAGTGTTTGTGTTACCTGAAGAAGATAAAACAGGAACACCATTTTGTAGCATTTTCTTTAGGAGAGCAAATAAATGTTTTGCTTTTGGACTGGTGGACCTTTTAAGGGTTCAACTCTTCGTAGATACCTGACAATTAATATACCAGCAGAAAAATCTGACTCTTTGATTGAAGTTTAGCTCATTGGAAACTAATCCATCGGCACTTACAATAGTTAGGCTTTTTGAACCAAATGTAGCTGCAGGTTTTGTGATGTTTTGAGTTCACAACACTTCAGCATCAGCTAAATATAATATAATGTAACCGGCAGTGATGTTCTTTTTAGGGGTGCTCCTTTAAACCTGGACAGATGTTGCTTCTCTGCTCAGCTCTTACCTGTGTGTATCCTCCGGTGGGCTTTGAGGTGGGAGCTCTTGGTGTAAACTTTTTGGCAACCTTCATAATCACACATGTGGATCCGCCTCCTCTTGACGTCCGGAGAGTCTGGGTCCACGGGCTCCAGGTCCATCACCGACCTGAGGGGGGAACGGGAGGCAGTGATGAGTTAAAAAAAGAAAATCATACATTATCCATAGCCATATCATGAAAGCAGGTTTATTTCAAAGTTATGTTTGTGCCACAGGGGGGCGACAGAGTCCCACACAGCTTCCACTTCACTGCGTCTCCTTTTCCTCATACCTTAACTCCTTCTTTCCTCATACCAAAAGAGAGAGAATGAAACTACATACACCCCCCATATTCTCCCTCTTAGATTCAATCTAAATTATGTTGATAACATTATTTGTACTGTGATCTTCCGATTTAATTATGATATTCATTCAACAACCATAATGTAGCTAAAACTTTATTGAAAGAAAAACCTCTGTTTCTCACTTGCCATTTTACAAAGAAGTGTGACGACAAAGTGCATCACGAAACCATGTTTACATACACACACACACACACACACACACACACACACACACACACACACACACACACACACACACACACACACACACACACACACACACACACACACACACACACACACACACACACACACACACACACACACACACACACACACACACACACACACACACACACACACACACACACACACACACACACACACACACACACACACACACACACACACACACACACACACACACACACACACCTTCAGGGGACATTACATTGACTTACATGCATTTCCTGGAGACTTATCCTAACCTTAACCAACACATGCCTAACTCTAACCAAGTCTTCACCCTAAAATGAATGATTCCCCTTATGGGGACCTCCAATTTGTCCCCATAAGGGAGGTGAGTCCCCACAAGTATAGTAATGCTAGGCCACACACACACACACACAATTAAAGCACTAAGCTAACCGTCTGCGTCCACACCCTGGATTTCAGTTACAGTCAGCAGCCTCACCTACTGGGTGTGGCAGGAGCTATGTCCTGATTTACTAACAAACACCACACACACACACACACACACTCACACACACACACAGTTGCGTGACTCTACACTGGCCACAGTAACCTTCACTCTGCAGCCTTGAGTTAATAACCTTTCAAAATGCCACACTTCACTGGAGAAGAACAAAAGTCCTCAATTTGTACTGAGCACGCAAACACGACACACACACACACACACACACACACACACACACACACACTCTGATACATCCAGTGCGTCTCCGTATGTTCTACTGCATACAGAGGGTTACATAAGGTTATATAAGTGTCCAGCCAGGCAGCGCCGCAGTAATGTAATTACTCTGCAGGGGAGGAAGGTGATCCACACAAAGACCACATTTCCCAGAAACCCCACTGCGCATTTACTCTCTCTCGCTGGCCCTGTCAACTCCCATCATGGACTTTGAACTGAGATGACATCATGCATGATTTGTTGCATTTATGTCCTGTCAACAGCGGCAGACATCTCCTTTATAATGGACCTTAGCTGTAGCAGAAGACAGGTTTTCATACAAATGTATTGCAAATTGTAACCCAACATTAAAACATTGGCATTCTGGCACAGGTAACTGATTTAAAGTTTTAAGGCAGAGGTAGAATACACTACAATCTAACAAATATTATAATATAGCCGTAACATATTTATATGAGGGCAAGGGTAGTTTGTCTCCTCTACAGACTTAAGCTAATGGCATGTAAATTCCCCAAATGACCATTTAATTTAGGATACTTTTGTGGATACTCAGATCAATGTGGCTCTACAACCTACAGCATGTCCATCCTTTGTAGTTGCAGCAATCAGGACTGCATCACCTACATGCTAATACAGATGCTGGTAGAGAACAACACCAGAACAAAACAAAGACTAGTGGCACAATAAACCACATATGCGACCCACTTTGCAGGAATGTATTTCTCTCAGGTGTGTGAACATTTTGAACTCAAGGTGTCCTTAAATATAGTCAGCTTGTTGTTTGCATCTGTGTCTGGACTCACCCTGCGTCGAGGCTCTGGGCGCTGAGGGAGGCGGACCCCGACTCTGTGCCGCTCTCTGCATCGCTGTCACTCTGAAACTCCACCGGAGACGTCGAGCCGGGCTTAAAACGAACTACAGAGAGGGAAAAAGATAGATGGAATAAAAAGAGAGAATCAGGGAATTAAATTAGGAGAAGGAAGAAGAAGAAGTGAAAAGAAGGAAGGGGGAACAGACAGAAAACAGCAGGGGGTTAATAACTTCTCAACAGATTAGCAAGACAAAGATCAGTGTGTGTGTGTGTGTGTGTGTGTGTGTGTGTGTGTGTGTGTGTGTGTGTGTGTCTTCTTAGGTGTGGTCTGCTCGGCTGCAGAATTGGCAATACCCCATTCTGGAAATGTCTGGACTTCTCGTTTCTACATTTTTCTTAACAATTCTTAACTTTCTGTTACCAGGTAGAAACTCTTCCGTGTCTCAACACTGCTTCTCTTTCTTGTTTTGCGATTTCAACAACCTTTAACGATGTCAGAGCAGGGGGAGCAGAGGGTGAACAGATGTTAATGAAAAACACTCTGCAGAACTGAGAGACAATGCTAATTAGCAATTAACTGAAAGACAAATCACTGGAGGCGATCCGGAGCCTCTGCTGAGCGCCCTTCAGTTTAGGCAAGCTGCTGGAAATACTAACATCTTTTGCGTTTTCACCAAGGAAGATTTGAAAGAAGTGGTCTTGCTTTGCTTTGAGTATGGTTGGATATTTGCAAAATGAAATGAATGCTAATCTCTGTAATGCCAGGTATCTCAGTGAGATGAAACGAGATAAGAAGATCACAAAGTTGATCTTCAGAGAGGCTTTAATCAAGTTTTCTATACAAATAATGGTTTAAATGACAATGAAAATGATCATAAAATTATAGCGTTTTAAAGGTTTTTTTTTACGTACTATGATAGGATGAGAAATCTCATTAGTTTTCGGAAAATGTACTCAGAATATTTCAAATGATCTCAAATGTAACATCACTGTTTAATAAATATAGAAAAAATGTAGCTTTTACCGACAAGAATCTGACTTTCTTTTCTCTTTGAACATCTCAAAACATTTTCAATGCAATATAAAATGCATTGTAAATACTTTAATTAGTCATTTAAACTGGCACAATCTTAAGAAACACAACAGTCAACAGCAGGAGTTTTCACAAAAACATTTGCCAAATTGCCCTATTGGAAAGATCTAATCAAAACTATAATCAAGTGACACTAAGTAGGATCTAAAAGCATGATATATAAGCATAATCTTGACTAGTTATAGTCGAGCTTTAGGTAATCCCATGGCATGTTAACAGTTATCTCCAAACCCTGATCAGATTTTAATATGTATTCTTCATTAAGTGACGTGGTCATAACATTCCTGACATAGCTTCTGAAATGTAATTTCTAAAAGGATCTATTTGGTAATATGATTACTATCAATGGGAATGATGCGAGAAGGTATTCCTATATTATATTATCTCGATCGTATCATATTGATTTCCTTGGTGAGATGTGATATGTCTGTAAACATCATGTCCTCTGCGGTCAGATGATCCGTGTCTGGATCAGAGAGCAGCTCTAATTCACTTAGTCTATCCGGACATTTCTCCCTCTTTCTCTCCCCCGTTTCAGTCAGTGTCTTGCTTCGTCAGAAATAAAACTACTTTAGCTAAAATACACTACAATAGCAAACAAAGAACAGTGGTGTAAAGTAACTAAGTACATTTACTCAAGTACTGTTCTTAAATTACAATTTTGAGGTACTTTTCTTTACTTGAGTATTTCCATTTTTTTTAAATGTGCACTTTTACTCCACTACATGTATTTAATACTTTTAGTTACTTAACAGATCTGGGTACTTTTACTCAAGTACACAATCTGAGTACTTCTACTTTTACTCAAGTACAAGATCTGAGTGCTTCTCCGAACACTGCATATTCAGAGTGTGATTTTTAACTCTTTGGTCAGAAAACAAGAAAAAAGCCGACCCCCCTCCTCCCATCTATCTGCAGGAATGTGGCCACCATGAGGTTTAAAGTCCAGAGAGAGAGCGAGGAGGGGTGAGGCGGGTCTGGGGGGTGGAGGGGGTGACGCAAGGAATTTGGGTGGAGTATGTGTGTTGGTATGGAGAGGGTCACACAGCAAGAGAAGTGTTCTTTGTTTCTGGAGACAATTAAAACCCCCGACCCCTTCACTGTTGCCGTTTTTCCTGAATCCGCTCCTCCTCACCCGACACCCCCCCCCCCCCGCCCAGTCTGACTCCTTTCCTCCATCAGTATCTACCTATCCACCCCCCCTCCATCCTTTTTCCTTCCACACAGCTCCACAGGAACAGAACATGTCATGCTGCCTCCTGCTTGTTTCGCATAGCAGGTACAGGAGGAAACAGAAAATATCAAAGTTCCTGTCTCTCCCCTCTCCCCCCCCCCCATTCACTCACTCCCCTTGTCAGGCTCACATCTTCACTCTTTGTTGCCGATCAGTGTTGAACGTGGGCTGATGACATGCACCAACAAAGAAGAGTGTCTATACGACTACAAGAACAGGCGGCAACTGCACTTAACCAATTAAAGAGGACTTATTTTGTTCATCTTCAGGTTCATATCAGTATGGAGTGTCTCTACTTTAAAGAGTCCTCTCCTGATGATGTTCAGGTGTATATCAGTATGTAGTGTCTCTACTTTAAAGAGTCCTCTCCTGCTGATGTTCAGGTGTATATCAGTATGGAGTGTCTCTACTTTAAAGAGTCCTCTCCTGATGATGTTCAGGTGTATATCAGTATGTAGTGTCTCTACTTTAAAGAGTCCTCTCCTGCTGATGTTCAGTGTATATCAGTATGTAGTGTCTCTACTTTAAAGAGTCCTCTCCTGCTGATGTGCAGGTGTATATCAGTATGTAGTGTCTCTACTTTAAAGAGTCCTCTCCTGCTGATGTTCAGGTGTATATCAGTATGTAGTGTCTCTACTTTAAAGAGTCCTCTCCTGCTGATGTTCAGGTGTATATCAGTATGTAGTGTCTCTACTTTAAAGAGTCCTCTCCTGCTGATGTTCAGGTGTATATCAGTATGTAGTGTCTCTACTTTAAAGAGTCCTCTCATGCTGATGTTCAGGTGTATATCAGTATGTATTGTCTCTACTTTAAAGAGTCCTCTCCTGCTGATGTTCAGGTGTATATCAGTATGTAGTGTCTCTACTTTAAAGAGTCCTCTCCTGCTGATGTTCAGGTGTATATCAGTATGTAGTGTCTCTACTTTAAAGAGTCCTCTCCTGCTGATGTTCAGGTGTATATCAGTATGTAGTGTCTCTACTTTAAAGAGTCCTCTCCTGCTGATGTTCAGGTGTATATCAGTATGTAGTGTCTCTACTTTAAAGAGTCCTCTCCTGCTGATGTTCAGGTGTATATCAGTATGTAGTGTCTCTACTTTAAAGAGTCCTCTCCTGCTGATGTTCAGGTGTATATCAGTATGTAGTGTCTCTACTTTAAAGAGTCATCTCCTGCTGATGTTCAGGTGTATATCAGTATGTAGTGTCCTCTACTTTAAAGAGTCCTCTCCTGCTGATGTTCAGGTGTATATCAGTATGTAGTGTCTCTACTTTAAAGAGTCCTCTCATGCTGATGTTCAGGTGTATATCAGTATGTATTGTCTCTACTTTAAAGAGTCCTCTCATGCTGATGTTCAGGTGTATATCAGTATGTAGTGTCTCTACTTTAAAGAGTCCTCTCATGCTGATGTTCAGGTGTATATCAGTATGTAGTGTCTCTACTTTAAAGAGTCCTCTCATGCTGATGTTCAGGTGTATATCAGTATGTAGTGTCTCTACTTTAAAGAGTCCTCTCCTGCTGATGTTCAGGTGTATATCAGTATGTAGTGTCTCTACTTTAAAAAGAGTCCTCTCCTGCTGATGTTCAGGTGTATATCAATATGTAGTGTCTCTACTTTAAAGAGTCCTCTCCTGCTGATGTTCAGGTGTATATCAGTATGTAGTGTCTCTACTTTAAAGAGTCCTCTCCTGCTGATGTTCAGGTGTATATCAGTATGTAGTGTCTCTACTTTAAAGAGTCCTCTCCTGCTGATGTTCAGATGTATATCAGTATGTAGTGTCTCTACTTTAAAGAGTCCTCTCCTGCTGATGTTCAGGTGTATATCAGTATGTAGTGTCTCTACTTTAAAAAGAGTCCTCTCCTGCTGATGTTCAGGTGTATATCAGTATGTAGTGTCTCTACTTTAAAGAGTCCTCTCCTGCTGATGTTCAGGTGTATATCAGTATGTAGTGTCTCTACTTTAAAGAGTCCTCTCCTGCTGATGTTCAGATGTATATCAGTATGTAGTGTCTCTACTTTAAAGAGTCCTCTCCTGCTGATGTTCAGGTGTATATCAGTATGTAGTGTCTCTACTTTAAAGAGTCCTCTCCTGCTGATGTTCATGTGTATATCAGTATGTAGTGTCTCTACTTTAAAGAGTCCTCTCCTGCTGATGTTCAGGTGTATATCAGTATGTAGTGTCTCTACTTTAAAGAGTCCTCTCCTGCTGATGTTCAGGTGTATATCAGTATGTAGTGTCTCTACTTTAAAGAGTCCTCTCCTGCTGATGTTCAGATGTATATCAGTATGTAGTGTCTCTACTTTAAAGAGTCCTCTCCTGCTGATGTTCAGGTGTATATCAGTATGTAGTGTCTCTACTTTAAAAAGAGTCCTCTCCTGCTGATGTTCAGGTGTATATCAATATGTAGTGTCTCTACTTTAAAGAGTCCTCTCCTGCTGATGTTCAGGTGTATATCAGTATGGAGTGTCTCTACTTTAAAGAGTCCTCTCCTGCTGATGTTCAGGTGTATATCAGTATGTAGTGTCTCTACTTTAAAGAGTCCTCTCCTGCTGATGTTCAGGTGTATATCAATATGTAGTGTCTCTACTTTAAAGAGTCCTCTCCTGCTGATGTTCAGGTGTATATCAGTATGTAGTGTGTCTACTTTAAAGAGTCCTCTCCTGCTGATGTCCAGGTGTATATCAGTATGTAGTGTGTCTACTTTAAAGAGTCCTCTCCTGCTGATGTCCAGGTGTATATCAGTATATAGTGTGTCTACTTTAAAGAGTCCTCTCCTGCTGATGTTCAGGTGTATATCAGTATGTAGTGTCTCTACTTTAAAGAGTCCTCTCCTGCTGATGTTCAGGTGTATATCAGTATGTAGTGTCTCTACTTTAAAGAGTCCTCTCCTGCTGATGTTCAGGTGTATATCAGTATGTAGTGTCTCCATGTTTTAATGTTCAAAAAGCTCTTAATTGTTCTCGTACTGTCTGTGCTGCAGCACCTCTTTTCACCCTCTGTCTGAAACCAGAGCCCAGTCTGCTCTGATTGGTTAGTTGTCCGGCTCTGTTGTGATTGGTCAACCGCTTAGAAGTGTCCCGCCCCTTAGGAGTGCTAACCACATGAAAGTAGAATGAAAAGTAAACAAAGGAGTCCATTCTTAAAATGGCTGTTATCAATAGACTAGATCCCAAATTGAGAAATTATTATGCTCCGACTCTAAATTAGAAGAAGCAGATAAAGTGAGGAAAATCCCAAATGTGAATATCACTCTGACGATGTTAAAAACTGAAAGCATCTTCAGGCCACTTTGTGTGTTGGAGATTCTTCTGGACATTTTCCAAGAGTCACTTCCTCCGTCGTTTACATTCCTGAGTGGAGGCCGCGCGGCTCTGGATCAGAAACCAAGGTGAACTAAACTGACTTTACTGCAGTTTGTCAAATGGGTGGAGGCCCGTTTCGCCAGCTAGCCTGAGCAACGAGTTTCCCGTCATGTTTACACAGCCTCCTCTGTGCACAGTTTCTTAACACTAATCGACTGGATTCAAGTGTTTAAGTCTGACTTGATGACAGCATGACAACACGTGTCCCTCTGCAGGTTCTTCAGCATTGATCACCTGTTCACACACTGCGTCATCTCAGAGTCAGAGAAAGGTCACGGCACTTTAAGAGTGTTTGAGTAGCAGCTCAGGTAAAAGTTTAAAAAAATGACTGAGCAGTGTCGAACAGTGTGTGCTCTCATTCTGATTCATGACACTTCGACAGAATCAGCTGCTGAGATGTTGACAGGTGCCTTTCAATCGGGAAGAGCAATAACTTTTACTTTCATGAGGTAGAACTTCTGTGTAACATTTCGCCAAGTTTCCTCATTTAGACGGCAGCATCGGTCATCTGGCACATATGGACGGCTTCCAGAAGGACAAAGATAGACAGGCCGACAGACGGCAAGTCTAACATATCACTAACCACAAACACACCAACCATCCCTCAAGAGACACACTGAACTCCTCTGAGGCCGAGAGCGCCCTGGAAATAACACACTGGGCAGGAGTGACAGATCAGGGACGAACAATGGCAGGCGTGACAATCAAAGATAGAAATAAATCAACCATCTCCTTCCTCTTCCTGAATGATATTGATTTGCATGATCTTTAAACAAACACTCCCTGTGCAGTGGACCTTCCCAACATCCTTCCCAAATATGTTCTTTAGTTCTGTTTCACTGTGTGTGTGTGTGTGTGTGTGTGTGTGTGTGTGTGTGTGTGTGTGTGTGTGTGTGTGTGTGTGTGTGTGTGTGTGTGTGTGTGTGTGTGTGTGTGTGTGTGTGTGTGTGTGTGTGTGTACATACATTTGGCATCCCTTCTTCTGTCACATGCAAAACAGAAATCAGAGATCTCACACCTTCTTAAACATAACATTCAAAGACTTTTCAAGGACTTCCTAAAAAGTAAATTCCCCCTAATGCTATTGGCAGAGCCCGAGACTCAAGATGTTCATGCACCCAAGACAAAACAGGTCTTTGAATCCTTTAAATCCAATGGGAGATGTGTCCTTTATGGTCCATTACCTTGTTTTATGTGTCTTTTATATGTTACTAATTTAGTCTCTTCCCACATGTTGGTGATTGTTGGAACAGTGGAAAGACTAACAAGAAGAACTACGGCAAGAAAAACTTCTTTTTTTTGTTGCAATGGAGTCTAGTGGCTTTGAGAGGAGAATATTTATCGTATGTTCGGTACAACATAACTCAATATAAGAGTCCAAATCACTGTTGATTAGATTTATTTTATAATAACTAGGTGTCATGTTCCCATCACTTTCGATAGAAGCTAGAGCCGATAATATTGTGGTTGATGCAGTGTCATTTGTCACGACAATGAACAACGATTGTAACCTTTTACTCAAGTCAAAGTCAAAGTCAACTTTATTGTCAATCTTTCAGTTTGTGCGTACAGACAGAGAGATCGAAATACTGATTCCCACAATCCCGAATACAAAAATATTGATATATATAAAAATACTTATAGAAATATGTATATCCTATATATACAGATGTTGGTGGATATAAGTGTGTTTTGTATGTCGTGGGAAAGAAGCTTTACTGGAAGTTTTCCTAGCAACACTCACCAGATCCTTCTGAGCGGCCGTCGCTGCCTATGAGCGGCACGGTGATGGCTGCCGTGGCGACGCTGTCAGTCGTCATGGTGGTGTAGACGACAGGGAGCGACTGCACCACCACCGGGATGGTCTGCAGCTGGCCCACCTTGCTGGGCATGCTGACGGAGGGGATGGTGTGGATGACGTGGAGGATCTGCTGACCCCCGGCTCCCTGAGTGGCCAAGATGGAGCCTGGAGAGAGGACCTGGAGGAGGAGGAGGAGGAGGAAGAGGAGGAGGAGGAGGAAGAGGAAGAGTGTTAGATCTACTGCGAAACTTAACTTAAATTGGCTAATTAATTGCTCTGTATGCTGCATGCCTCACAATGGAGTGGTGCAGAGAAGACATATTTTCATTGGCCTTTCCGGAAGTTAGCATCGCAAAGGTCTCTGGCCTAAGGAGATTCTTCCATCGGATTTGGGAATATTGCAAAAATTAAAATCAGCGGCAAACACATGATGATATGATACAGCAGGGTAATCCCCACATATTAACACGCTTCTATCACCAAAAAAATATCTGACTTCCAGGGAATATGCTGACTCATTATAAGGGTTTGGGACTCATTCATTCAAAACATTGAAAAAGAGAAAAAAGGTATTTATCAATAAAACAGATAAAATAGTGCAAGTAAATACAATAAAATAGTGCCATAAGAGTCTATATACTTAGTTCAGGTGTTTAACAGTTTGACTTCAAGGGAATATTCTGACTAATTTCAAGGTTTTGGGACCCATTCATTCACACCATTGAAAAAGAGCAAACTGTATTTACCATGGAGCCTATGGTTTGTATTGTGGAGGGGACGGGTGTAGCGGACATTTGTGTCACCATGCCGCTGGGGGCAGGGTTCATGGTGGTGCCCGCGGCGGAGGAGGGGAGCGAGGAGGGGCGGGGCTTGTTGAGTGACAGGTCCACGGGCTCGGTCTGGTCCTCAGCGGGGGGCGGGTCGGGGGAGGCGGGCTCCAACTTACACACCGGCTCCGTCTTCACCCTCAGGTCTGTCGTCTGTGTGCAGTCCTCACCTTCACCCACCTGCAGGGCACACGGAGGGAAGAAAGAGTTTTAGGAAGCTGATTGTACTTTGGGATGTGTGTGGCACTTTTTTACTATTCATGCGTAATTCTTATGCATATTCCCCTTATTTTGAATCCCTTTTTGCTGCTTCACTTGTTTAAAATATCGTATCCAAATACAGATAAGTATTATTATTGGATACCCGTTGGTAACTCATTATTACTTTTCCTCCTGACCTTTGCCGAGTCAAATGATAAGCTCAACTCAATCAGACTTTCACAGGACTTCATTGACAAACCGAGATATTAATGAGACTAATGTAATCACGCTTAAGTGAAGTATGTCAATGCATGCTGCTTTAGAGTTTAAAAAGCCAGCAGGAGCCACAAACACAGAAATGATCTCATTAGTTTTATTTGATGTAGCTGAAAACACACGACCAAGGGAAACACAGCAGCAGATGGTTTTTTAAAACTTCTGTCACATGGTCGTTACATGAACATGGCAGTGGACTAAAGGTAACACATATTTATATTTATCATAGAGGTGCAAAGAACATGAAGTTATTTCAGACGTCGCATTCCTTTTCCACACATACAGTGATGACAGTGCTTCCTGATTTGGATTACCAAGAAACGCTCGAGTTAAACTATCAGTACCATTAACTTATATAGCTGGTCTTATAAGTTAAAAAGTTGCAAAATTAAATGCCTTAGTGCTTCAATTTAAATGGCATTTGAAAACTCACCACTAAAGTCACAATTCAAATGTTTTTTTACTTTTTTAAATGTTAGATTTTTGCTTGACCACTTCTTGAAATCCCTGTCTTCAGTGCATTTTCTGTGTATGCTTTTGTTTAACATTCTGTCTTTTTTTTTGCACCTTAATTGTATATCGTTGCGTTTTGTACGAAAAGTAAAAAGTGCAAGCCTATGTACATCAAATAAGCTTGAGGAGATAACTACAACTCCCAGGGTGCATTTTGGTACAAAGCATTCCTTCAGAGCCTTCGTGTGTGCTGCCAGGGAAAGCTAAAGATTTCACTTTGTCTCATCAAACATTCAGCCAACATTTCAGACTCTGGGTCAATGGATGAAATCACCAACGAAAGCCGTGTTTCACCAACAGTTTGCTGCAGCTCTGATCTCATTCAGCTCAGTAAACTGGACTTCTCTGAACAACCACGGCTGCTGAGGCGTTTTCATATCACGCTCTAGATTTCTCTCAGAGCACCCCACTCTCCTCGACAGCCACCCAGGGCTCAGCTGTGGAGCTCCTCACAGAACAATGGCTGCTGTGTGGGACTCAGAGGGGGAGGAGGGGGAGAGAGTGAGAGCGAGGGCTGCTGGGTATAGAGAGAGACTGGTACTGATTACGAGAGAGAGAGTCAAAGAGAGGAGAAGTGAGAGGGAGCAGCAGTCCAGGAGTTGGCCTCCATCCAGTTCTGCTGAGAGGGTGGAGACAACGCTACGCCCTTTTATCGGGTCACACAGTTCGGCTGCAGGCTGATGGAGGCGCACATATTAAGGTTGGGAAACACCATCCTGCAGTCAACTATCATTGCACACAGATAACGGAGTAAGAGTAAAGTTTAAGCGTTGCTGTGGCTAAATGCCAACTAATTATCTGAATTTTAGGGTTCATTCCTGAACAAATCTGTACACTACGTCTCTGTCTTTCCAGCTGTACTGAATAATAATAAAGGGGGAAAGCACCAATTAAAAATGTTTTTGTATTCCTTACAAGCATTGGTGTTTTTCTTGAAGTGACAATAAAAAGGTTTGGATATGCTCACGTCAAAAAAAACGATCCAACTTGGTTCAGGTAAAGAGGGGATTGAGGAGCTCCCATAGGGAATAAGGAGAGGACAGAGGAAGCAAACACATCAAAGACAAACACACAGAAACTGCACCAAACTTGGCTGAGGTGAGGAAGAGGGATAACCAGCCAATAGGAGAAGAGAGAAGAGGAAATGAAAGGGCGGATCGGCGGGCGAAAAAAGGGACGAGCACGCGATTATAGAGACAGCCCCCCAACAACAAGAAAAACACTGAAAAGAAAATGAAGTGTGAAAGAAGTGAGGGAGCGGATGAGGCAGAGAGAAAGAGAGTGGGTGGGAAAGGCCTTCAGTTGCCATGGAAACTGGGAGCTATCAGCTGACTCCATGTTTTTTCCACTCGTTCCCCACCCTCCACCACCAACTCCCCTCCCAGTCCGTTCATCTTTCCATCACTTCACCCCCCACCTCTTCATGTTCTCTCCATCTCATGACCACACCCCCTTTTCACCTTTTTTCTCCCCCCCTCCCCCCTCTCACTCCTCACATCAACCACACCCTTGTATCTTTCCGCCTCACCCTTCTTTCTCGGCTCCATTTCCACCCACTCCCTCTAGTATTCCTCCATTTCTCTGCCTCATTTTTCACGGTTGCTCAGATTAAACCCACAATTCTTTGCAAAATCCCCAAAAGAAAGGGCTGAGAGAGAGGAGGAAAGAAAAGAGAAAACCCCTCACTGGACTTCTGCAAGCTCTGTGATCTGAGAGACAGCATGAGGGAGGGAAATGGAAAATGGAAAGAGAGACTTTCTGATAGCAGGACAGAAGGAAGGATATCCAGCAGCTCATTACCCAGAGAAACAGAAAGCACTGCTCATTGAAGAGCCCAATGAATATTCAGTGCTTCAACACATTGTATGAACCAACATTAAGCTGGCGACAGAAAACATTTTTACTTCATGGTATTATTGTATCTTGGATTCCTATAATCCTTGTTTGCAGGATGCAATTATTCATCTAGGTCGCAATTTCCATTTCACAATAAAAGCCCTGAACATACTGCATCACTGCCTAACAGTGCATTTAGCTAAAAGGACACTCAACACCTTACAGTAGCTCTCCCCAGGTAGCTGAACAACCGGAGTAACGTTACATGTCCTAGTCTTTAGCTGAAGAGCCACGTTGATAGAAGCAAGAGGGAGAGTTGCAAAAACATGCTACAAGCTACATCCTTGAATGACAAAACATGCCTTCTTATTATTACTACCAGGTGTTTAACTCTGCCTTTATCATGGCACCAACATTAGGGTTTTCATTTCTACGATTGTTTCCTTTCCTTGAAGATATGTTCGCAAACCTGCTAGAAGTAATCATGTTGCTAACGATAAACAATAAGATATATTTTCTTCATATAATTAGAAACATCAATGGACAGATACAAACATATAACTGTCTTTTGCATCAGCTAAATGAAATGTAACTGACATCATCACCACCAAAGGAAATACAGATTAGGAGTGCTTGTGGGAAAGTTGGAAAGCTGTCGTGTGTCTACCCCAAACCCTATTTTGTCAATTGTTTTGATCAGTGCTTGAATTGGAATGAAAAAGGTGCCAGTACTCTAAAATCAGCAACTTTTTCAAGTCAATTTTATATATACAGCCCACAAACAAGAATGTGGCTACTATAATGCTGGTGGGTTTGTCTCTTTACTACTGTATATTTTAGAAAGGTTCACTGTACTTAACATTTTTTATGATAGGCAGCGGATATGGCTAAAGCTCAGTAAGGTCAATATTAACTGAAAATATAGCAATCAAAGTCTAGATCTTCTGCTGAAGACACATGAAGCAGAGACCTTTCAGGTGAGAGCCCCTCTGGTGGTGTTCAACATTAATGACAAGGAAACAAAGCTCTGGTCAGAAGCATTTTTTATAAAAAGCTTTAACAAAATTAAGTATTTCTGTACATTTTGAATGCAATCTAACTTTCCAACTCAGAAAACGAAAAACGAAAAAGTGCCAAAAGTCTTCTCACATGGCTGAGCTGCTTTGCAATATACTTCACCACTGAAGAATACAAATATGTATAAAGTAAACTATGATGCAATCTAACTTTCCAACTCAGAAAAATGATAAAGAGCATGAACAAAGAACATGTAAAAACAAATGCAAAATTTGCACAATCTAAAATGAGAAACTGTAACTGCAAGTAACAAAGTCTGAGCCATGGTAAAGAGTTACATTGAACACCAAGCTGATCAGATAACTCCCTGGTTGGTCTGAAGTCCTTCTATCTCCAGGATCTGTACAAATCGGCACATTATGCCAAAAGTCTTCTCACTGGGTGAGCTGCTTTGCAATATACTTCACATTGTTAGAAAAGGCTCCAGAAGGCCTTGGGGACATCAGTATCAGGGGCTGGAGCTGGACAGGCTCTTTCATCAGCACTTCTCCTTCCCTTTGCCAGCCAGGACCTCACATACTGTTCCGGATTGAACTGTCCTAGTGATGGTCCATTACATTTAATGAAAACCAGGCTGGACAGTCGGCTGACAGAGAGAGCATTCCTTTTTGCAGTAAGGATATCGTTCATGCAGCTGAATGCCCGCTCACACTCACTAGTGGAGACAGCGATGGTTCGGACTGCTTTCAGTAGAGGCTCCATGGCAGCAGGTGTACGGGATGCCCTGGTTTCCTTGTATTCACGAAAGCCCTGAAGAGTCTCTCTTCTGTCCACTTTCAGCACTTCGCACAAACGTAGCACCTCTACGTCCCCATACTGTACGTCTAACTCCTCTTCAGGCCAACTTCCAGGATGGATAACTTTCATGTCCTGGATTAGCTGATTGTCCCAGGCCTCCCGGCCATGTAATGGGATTTCTCTTGTGCTGACATGAGAGGAGGTTGTGGAAGTCATTCTGTGTCTCAGATTCTCTACCATACTGCGGAAAAACTGACCTGCATGAATCTGTACAAGCCTGCCATTCTCACGCAGGGCAACACCCTTGAAGGACTTCTCAGCTAGAGCTGTATGAACTGTAGTCATGTGTGGGCCAGGCATGGTGATCATGGATTCAAAAACTCGTATTTCTCGAGTTAAGAGCCTATCTGCTGTAGGCAGTGTCATCTCTCTTTTTTGGAGTTGCTGAGAGAGGTCGCTGAGCTCTGTGAGCGCATCGTACATCAGTCCCAGATTGCTGACAAACGTTGCAGATGTGAGCACATCATCCAGGCCCTTGT